TTTCTTTCTTTCTTTCTTTCTTTCTTTCTTTCTTTCTTTCTTTCTTTTTTTTCTGTCTTATGTATGCAGGGTTCTTGCTGCATGTATGCCTGCACTCCAGAAGAGAGCACCAGAACTCATTATAGATGATTGTAAGCCACCATGTCATTGCTGGAAATTGAACTCAGGATCTCTAGAATATGCCTACCAATATCCCACACCTTCTCTGCCCTAGTGCTTCTTGATTCTCTTGCCCTCCTACTTCTTTTCTGTTCTTCCCAACTCTCAGGCTGATACCGATTAGAGAGCTGCCTTCTGCAGCTTCTAAGTAATAAACTTTAATTTCAGTCCATGCAAAGGAATGAAGATTATAAAAAACAATGATAATAACAAAAACTCTTTGTAAGAGCTTTGTAAACCACCAAGAACTGGCATTTACGATATTTTTAAAGTTGTATTTACTGTTATTTTATTATAATTGCAAATAATTGATTAATTGCAGACAATAAAATGAAGTCAATATGTGTAATGTGTATGCAGTTATGTCAAATAAGACATGAAACTTTCAAAAATGTAAGCAATTAAAAAAATAATGTCAAGAGTCAGATGAGAACATTTTTATGTAACTGTGCAGAAGGAGTTGAATATAACTGGTAACTTAGGTGGAACCCTAGAATGTGAATGAAGGCCATTGTAAAAATGTCTAATATACCTTTTTTTCTAGTGAAGTTTAAGTATAAGAACCCCACTATAGAGAAATCTTTATAACCTCAAGCCTCTGTTTATCAAGTACCAGGTTTGTGTGCTCCTCTGAGTAACAAAAAAGGGCTACTAAAGAGAGGGTGGAGTTCAAAAAGTTTTAGTTATAACATCATAAGTTTCCATTATTAAAAATTATAACTAATATTATACCAATAAATTTTTAGTAAAAATAGTAAAGAAATGACTAATATTCAGTTAAAAGGTATAGTTATAGAGTTATAACTCTGTCACCTATTTTAATAATTGTCATTGTAATTTACCTAACAATATCTTACCAAACTGTTTTCAGAGTGTAAACTATCAGTTTATTAAAGATGTCAGCTTAATTGTATACTCTATAATATTTTTGTAAGGAGAAGACCAGAGAGAGAGATTTTGCATTTGTTTAGAAAAGAATCCAAAATGCAATAGCAAAGTCTACCCATTTCAATGCTAACACTAGAGTCCGGAGAGGAGGAGGGCTCTATCATCCCTATGCTAAACCTTCTGTGTAGAGAGGAGGATAGCTCTTGACCATTGGTCCTTTGAAAGTGACCAGGATCCTGGAAGAATCATTGACCCCCAACTCCACATTAAGTGTTATACAGACTTGTTAGTGGTATACGTATGATAAATATTGAAAACACACATTTTCAATCAGTTTGCATTTTTTTCTTACTAAGATAAATGTTCTGTACTTTAACCTATGAGACTATATGCCATCTTTCAGAAGATCTTATTTCTGTATTTCTCTTTCTTGCCTGAAGAGTAAGGAAGTACTACCATGATCAATAGTGTTCAGACCACATTCTCACTTATCTTTTTACTTTCCTGCATCACTCCCTCAGCAGTATCATGGCCTGGGGTATCAACCACTCTAGGAGAGGTTTTATAATGAAACCATGTAGCACTCTGAAACCAATTACTTTAGAGAACATTCTACAACACAGCCTTTGATCTGAATGATAGTAAGAACTTACCAGATATCATTCAAAAAGTTTTATGAATAGCTCTGAAGATTTTTTAAAAAATTACTTTGGATTTGACTGAAATGGTATCATCATGAGTAGGCAAAAGTAAATGTTATTATTCCATACCTAAGAAATCTGTACATGAAATAATGAACAGATGTAACATAGGACTGGTTTATTAAAGAAGAGCAAATGTGGGAATCAGGAGAAATAGCTGCCTCTCTTGTTGCATGTCTGCTTTTATTGCAGATTCACCACCTATAACACACAGAAAGATAAGTAACAATATCAATCCCTTATTTTAAAATCTGGACTAGGGAAGCTTTGGAGTGTATCCTGTGTGGAGAATAGGAGTAGAAGGGAGAGGATGCCCCAGCTGCAGCCTGAAGTGATAGTGCTGTTACACTGCAGAGATTCTGCAATGTGTCAAGGGGTTGGCGATTCACTTGTCTGAGTGCATGATTTGGTGAGTCAGTTTAGACCAGAGCAAACTGGACCTGTCATTGAAATCACAATGGACAAAAATGGACCTATTCAATCTGACTCTCAATGGCAAAATTCTTCCCAGTTGTAAGTGAGAGACTCTGGACAATGCCTTAACTCATTCAGGTCACCGGGGTACTATGTCAGCTCTGGTGCTCACAATTGCCCATGACCAATTCTGCCCTCCCCACAGCAGGGGCATGCGGTGTCATTTTGTGCTCTCTTCTTTTGGCTAATGTCAGGTCTGAAAGGGAATGAACAAAAGAAGGCGCTGCCTTCCTCCCACCAACTCCTCCTAGCCATAATCACACCCTCCTTTCACTCGACTAGTCTATGAACTTGACAGAAAATGAACTGAGATTGTCTGTGGCTACTCACAGACCAGAATAAAGCCAAGTATTCACAGCTGCTCTATTCTGTCTTCGAGGTGAAGAAAAGGGGCCTACAGGAAGTGAAGGAGAGCTCCAGGTTTACATAGCATTGCTAATAAGACCAAAGCCTTGTTATTTCTCTTACTAGGGTTGTGACTTCTTCCTTGACAGTCTTCCTTCATCCCTTTCTCAGGCATTACCAGGATTCTTTTAAAAATGTTTTTAAGCGTGCTTCATTCTCCCCATATCTCTACCTGGATATATCAAACACCTTGTTCTTGAGCTGAGCCATTCTTTACCCAAGAAATTTCAATTCCTATGTCAAGTTCTCGCATTTATGCCATCTAGTGTAGAGAAATTGCCTGCAAGTGAGTTTTACCTCTTTTATTTGTGCACCAGCCTCTGTTCATGCCAAGTACACCTTTAGTGCCTGTAATGTTCCTCTTCTCTACCAGGCTAAGAGCATAAGGCATGCTGGCATAACACCATTGTTGACACTGTTAGTCCAGTCCCTAGCATTTAGTAGGTGAGCAATGAAGGATAACCACCCTGTCTTGTGCTCAGAATTTCTATTACAAATTCACAGTCTGGGGAAATAGGAAAGACTCCAAAGACCCATAGAGAGCAGGAGTAGACTTTCTCAAACTCAGATCTGAATGAGAGTAACGTCTTCTTCAGATTGTTGTGTTCATTGTCTTCATCCATGTCAACCAACCATCTCTAGTCAACCAACAGTGAACGAGTTGTGTACTGTTTGTACAAGTCACTTTTCCCCTTTGACTCAAATCCTCTTGCCTTCGGAAGCCATATTCAGTCATTTCTATAGTCCAATGAAAAGAAAAGAAAGATATTTTAATTGTGGGTGCCTTCTTTCCTTTAGCTGTAAATGTCCTATTCTGTTTGTCCCTATTCAAATATTGATTCTTACCATAATACTGATTAAGAGATATAATAATAGTTATGAAACTGCTAGATTTTCTATTTTTCTTAAAGTTTACTTGTAACATTCTTTAAGGTTATTGGTGATGATGATTCCATGTGTTTCCCCAGAGAAAACAAAGCATAGGAATAAGTAAGACTTTCAGGGTGTTAACTTCAAAGCAACATTTTATTATGAAACTGCTATTGTTGATCTAGAGACATGTCTCAATGGTTAAGAACACTTGCTGTTGCCAGGCGTGGTGGCATACACATTTAATCCCAGTACTCGGGAGGCAGAGGCAAGTGGATCTCTGTGAGTTCAAGGCTAGCCTGGTCTCCAGAGCAAGTGCCAGGATAGGCTCCAAAGCTACACAGAGAAACCCTGTCTCAAAAAATAAAAAGAAAGAAAGAAAAGAAAAGAAAAAAAAGAGCACTTGCTCCTCCTGCATAGGACACAGGTTCAGTTACCAGCACACACATGTGGCTCACAACCATTTATAGCTTCATCTACAAGGCATCTGATACTGTCTTCTGGCTGCTACAGCACCAGGCATATGTGAGGAGTTCATAAATACACACATACATAAAGGCAAAATGCTCATACACATAACTTACCAAAAAAAAACCTTAAAAATCAGAATTCCTATTGTCCGTCTCTGCTCCTCTTCTAAAGGGCTGAACCAAAATAAGAGTCGCATTATTTATTGTCATACAGATGTTTAATCAGCTGCAAACTCTTTTCTTCATTCATAAATCTTAAACTAGGTCCCTCTAGAACTAGGCTACAATAGCTTCACTTTTGTCTAGGGAAACCTAGTGGAGTTTCTTGTAAGCTGTCCCTCTCTAATGCTTGGGAATGGGATACTGGCCAGCTTGATATCAGGAATAAGAATTCTGGAGCTGACAAAATCAATGGCTAGTAATTGCTGAAGGTTTGGTTTTACTTTGGCAATTTTTGGTTCATTTGCTTTTTCTGATGATTTGGGTGAGATTTAAAAAGTATTTCCTAAGCCCTTATCATTGTTGCCACATCCATTCATAGCCAAGTACCTGGAAGAAATTAGAGAAATTAGGATGGCTTTATCAAGTACACCTGCAAGCTAGTATAGTTGTCATCAGATGCCCATGAGCCATTAAAAATCAATGTCTTTCCTGGACAGCAAATACAGAGACTTTTAAAAGAAAGAAATGAAAATGAGCAATGTTGTCATGTTGATCACAATATAAAAAGCAGGGGACTGAAGCAAGTAAATAGGTCAAAAAATTCTCGGGTAAGAAATATACAATATGGCATAAAAATTGATAGTACTGGTGGGAATTTACAGAGAATGTAATTGCAGCATCTCAGAGAAAGACTAGGATTCCACAGTGGAAGATCTGGCACAGCTGGAGAACAAAGGAGCCTTTGCAAACAAAGACAGAGTTCAAAATTGAAAGAACAAGTGGCTTGGTACTGATTGACTATAAAATACATATGGAAAGGTGGCAGGCATAATGATTGTGATGCTTGCCCTATACACATGAGCCCAATTATGAAGAGCCATATATCGTTTCCTCACAGTTTCAACTTTAGTCTGGAGACATGAAGATCTGCTGAGGGGTTTCATTCGTGGACAAAGATGTGACTCCACTTGGGTATGGCAAAGACTGTAAGGGCTGGGTGCTGCAGAACTTGGTAGAAGGGATTGCAAGCACAGCGTATCTGAAAATTATTGGCAAAGGAATATATAAGAAAAATTCAATGCAGCAGGGTACAGTGTCAATAGCTTACATATATTCATATACATGTTTGACAGCTACTCTGGAAAATTGCAAAATGTCTTTGACATCTTCCGCTTGTTCTCTTGGTTCAATGCCTTCTCTTGCATGCAGTGTCTATGGCTGATCTAGGGCTTTGTATGGAGCAATATGAAAATGAGAAGAGAGGTGGCTCCCTTCATGCAGAGTGAGATGGCTGTAGATGCACTCCCTTCTGTCTGGTGGCCTCTTTCACCAGCCATCTGATCTTGAAATGACAACAGCTCTTCATTGCTCCTTGTCATTTTACTACACAGTCTACATCTTTGTAAATACTCCTTTCACGAACCCTTACTCTAATAAGTACAAAACTGAGGGTTTTATCTGTTTTCTTCCAGGAATCTGATTCATAAAAGAGAGTTGGAGCAACATGTGTTTGCCGTGGTTGTAGTAGAATTATAAACTAGCATCCCTTCTTACAAAGCACATATGGATGTGATAACATGGAATGTGGAGAAGTCACCAGATCTCAAACCTAGACAGAGAAAGACAGGCAACTATGGAATGTGGAGAGCAGGAGATAGTTTACCCTTGGGTAGTGTATACTGATTGGTTCATCAGTACTAAATGGTCCATCCTTAAATCATTTATACAAGTGATTTTATCTGAACTGAGCAGAGTACATTCATTTATTCAGAAAAAAATGCACACATATTTAACAACTTACTTTTAATTTTAAAAAGCACTTTAAAATGGGAATGGTGAAAATTTCTTCAAGGATTTTTGTGCCAACCCAAAGTCAGAATCTTAAGTATCTGCCAGTTGTTAGGTTTGCGATGGGACCTAATAATAAAAAAGAATGACTTGAACTGTACTAATGCTGATAGACCAGAGAGGGTGGCGGAGTTGCAATGGGAAGGATCTGCACTTGCCAGAGGTGGAGATTACTCCAGTTGCAAGAGCAGGGTTTATTGTAGAAAGTAATGAAAGTATCAGAGGACAATTCTCAGTCAGTCAAGCAGTGCACTTACCAGGTCCACTCACTAAAGTTAAAATTGGCCTGAAGTAAAAACTTGGGGAAAAGATGAAGAGTTTGGCTTGGAACATATAAGTTTTCTTGCAATCTGTAGGATATCCAAATGACTGTCTAGAAGGCTTTAAAGCAGAGGAGGTCAAATGATGTTATAGCAAAAAGACTTTCTCTTGATTCTCAAATATTCTTGGGTGAGATGAGGAGAGCAGTAATAGCTCAGAATCAATTTCCAGAGCCCTTTTCAAAACCCCTGATCTATCTTCATGTTTTCTGTTGACCATATGTGCTCTTCCTTTTTAAAGTACGTAGGGTGGATGCCATTGCTTCCAGGACTTACCTAAATTCTCTGTCTACTAATACAATGTAATGTGCAACAGGAATCTAAGACTCTAACACATGATTTTTTACAAACCATCAAACTGAATTTATTTCTTGCTTTTTTTGTTGCTTATCTACAGAATAATTATATACTGAGGTTTTCACTATTTTTGTGACATTTATGTTCATTTTGTTTATGGTTATAATTTTGACTTTTCTTGTCATATTTTCTCATGAGAAAATGTGTGATATTTTTAATATAAGAAATCATTCTATAACTATCTGAATTAGATCTAGAGGCATTTTAATGTAAAACAATAAAAATATTAGTTATAGTTTCCAGAAAGCTTCCCAAAGGAAATAATGGTAAGAAAGGCATTATATCTCCTTCATATACCCTTATGGAGTTGTCAATACTTCATTCATTAAAAGCTCAGAGGCATACTTGCAGGTAAATTATGCTGAAGGATTAAAAACATCAAGATAAGACTTATTAAGCTATTTACCAAAAATTCTACATATTTTCTAAATAAAGGCACTAGAGATCAGAAATGTCAAGATACACTGCATAACTTTTCTGTATCAAAATAAGCAATCTTTTTATTAAGGCATCCAGAAAGAGTACATTCATGGATTGAAGGTAGTATGTTTAATATGTCCATATCTATCTAGATTGACAGTGCTCACACACATGAATTTCCCCAGAGAGTCAGTGTTTACTAGTGTCAGTGGATAGCATCATTTACTTCGATGTTCCATTATTAAATTGATAACAAGATAATTCCTCTGCTTCTCAGAGACATGGCAGAGTTTACAATGGTTAACACTCTTATTGCATGGGATTTACTGTTCTAGATCATTTTTAATAAGAAGCATATTTGTGTCTCAATATAAAATGAAGTGAAAACAATGTAGTAAAATAAAATAAAAAGTAAACATACCCGGCAATGGAATCATGAATTATGAGATATTAAAGAGATATCTTGCTTACTATGTGCCACTTGATTGTGTGTGTGTGTGTGTGTGTGTGTGTGTATTCAGTCTTTCAACTGAACATATGACACATATGCTATTTGATGACACTGAAACTTATGTATTTGGTTTATTATTTGAATATAAGAAATAGGTGATAATTTTAGCTGGTAACAGAGACAGGAGAACTAGATCATATTTATAGTACTTTATCCAATAGAGTTTTCTCAAAACATTAGAAATAAAACTACTATATGGCCCTGTTAAACATGCTTAGGGTTATACCTAAAGGATTCTATAACTTACCACAAAGATGAGAACACACCTATATTTACTGTTGTATTGTTCACAATAACAAGGAAATGGTGCGAGCCTAGGTGTACATCAATAGATGAATTGATAATAAAAATGTGGAATAAAAATAGGGCTTTATTCAGCTGTAAAGAAAACTGAAATCAAGAATTTTATAAGTAAATGGATAGAGCTGGGAAGTACTTTATTCAGCCAGGTAACACAGACTTGATAAAAAAAATAATCACATGTTCTCTCTCAAATGCTTATCCTAGACAACAGACAGTGTTTACATGTATGTATATAAGTGGGTTTGTGCTGCAGGTAGAGAAGGACTAAAGCACAAAAATGACATTAAAGGAGAAAGGAGGTTACAGGGTCAGTAGAAAGGTACATGGTGAGATGAGGCTTCTAGAAGATGAAGGGAGAAGTAGGAGAAAAGAGACAGCAAAAATAAATTTTCTAGGAAAATGAGAAACAAAATCTAATACTATGTATACTAAGAAAAGTTGGGATGAGGTGAGATTTACCAGTAGGTAAATCCTTTATTGTAAAAGCCTGGAGATCAAAGTATGTTTTCAGGGACACATGTAACACGTGCATACCTACACACACCCACTCACCAAAAAAACAAACCTTCAAAGTTCTCAAAATTGTTAATAAAAATCAGCTCAGATAAAACAGTAAATGTATGAAAAGGAAAAGACAGGAAGCAAATAGTGAGATAGGGCTAGAGGAACCATTGGAGACAGACAAGCAGATATGAATGATTTGAGAATGAACTCAACATTTCACAAGGACAGTTAGCAGGAAGATCATGCTACAGCCAAGGGGATTGATGCTCACAGGGGTTAGAAAATTGTCCCAGAGAGTACAAAAAATTGTTCATGGCCTATAGCTAATAAATGGGGAAGCCTGTTCTCTTACATACATCACTCTGTCTTCCTCACAGGGCCTCAGGAAATACACTCTGCAGAGGGCTAGCAAACAGAAGAGATGGAGTCAAACTACACTATACTTGGCTTCAGATCTGTCCTTGGTTCCTTTTGAAAATTCAAATTCACTAATTAATACTTGAGCCCATATTATTGGAACTAGACGCTTAGAAAAACTGGTAAAACAAACAAACAAGCAAACACAGGTCTAAAACAAACCTTTCAGACTTGAGATGAAATCTGACCTTAGAGAGGACCTACAGACTTGGAGTTAAGGTTGTCTGAAAAGAAATGGGATATTCCCGTCGTTTTTAATGAGTGAAATCATATCTTCACATTTGTTTGAACTAGGATGTTATTTGCAAATAACTTTATAGGTCAAGAATCCCTAAGGGTCTCCAGACTTTTTTTTTCCACTCATGAAGAATAGTGTGAAACCTCTCACCACAGGCAATGCTGGCTGCTGACAACCGGAGAAGCACACAAGGCAAGTGATGTGTCAGCGACTTCAAAGTCCTCTAGGATCTACATCCCCTGGAAAGCTGATGCTGTTTTCCTTGAAGCTAAGACAGGGCAGCAAATTTTCAAAGTTAAAAATGAAAGCAGTTCACACATTTGCTGTGCAAAGTGATCAGGAAAATCAGACAGTGGAAAATTTTCTGAGTCACTGATTTCTGGAAGGGCCTAACGTCATGTGCTGTCAGTGGGTGTGGTTTCACTCATATGAAAATACAAGTCCCCACACACTGTTGACCAGTTTCAGACGAGCTGAAAGATGAATTCTTATGAGTTTATTCATCTTATATAAACAGAGTGAGAATCTTACTTATAGGTGATATTCTTATAGTTATATGAACTGATTCATACACTAACTAGTATGTGTGGTTGTTTGTGTGGGACTGTGATGTGTGTGTGTGTGTGTGTGTGTGTGTGTGTGTGTGTGTGTGTGTGAGAGAGAGAGAGAGAGAGAGAGAGAGAGGAGAGAGAGAGAGACAGAGAGAGAGAGAGCTACCCCATAGCATTATTGCTCCTACAAGTAAGGCTTTGTTAAATATTAAACTTTTCATTGTTTTGTGTGTTCATACTACCCCATAGCATTATTGCTCCTATAAGTAAGGCTTTGTTAAATATTAAACTTTTCATTGTTTTGTGTGTTCATATGTGTATGCATGTGTTTATGAAGGTATGTGTGCATATGTGGGGAAGCCAGATGCAGAACTAATGTCAGGTATCTTTCTTAAATGTTCTCCTTATTTTTTGAAGCAAGATCTTTCATTGAACCTGAGACTTACCAACTAGGCTGCAGTGAGTGTTCATTGAGCTCCAGGGATCCTCCTGAATCTACTTTTCCAGTGCTGGGATTATAGGCTAATGCCACCAAGCCCAGTTGGAGCATGGGTGCTGGGTGTTTGAACTCGGGCCACCTTGATTGCATAGAAAGCACTTTAACCAACTGATCCATGTTCTCAAACCCAATTGCTTTGTTTTCTATGTTGTCTTTGAGTGATCAACTTTATACTTCTTGTAATGTATATTAAGACAGGTTTTCAGTCTAATACTAACACGACAAAATAATAGTTAAAAATATCAAAAGCATCAGGGTTACTTGATTGCTCTTGATCGACTCATCCTTTCCTACATCATTTGAGACTGAAATGATGTGACTGAAAAGTTGTTATAACTTACCAGTGATAAGTATATCTAACTCATATAAGTTACCAAGCATGGTAAAAGAAAGCACACACACACACACACACACACACACACACACACACACACGGTCCCTACAAAGGAGTAAAGAATATAAAGTTGTTTATTTTGTTTTATGCATTGATGATCTCTCCCTTCCTTCTTCCTTCTCCCTTCTTTTTTCCTTCTTCATATATCCTGAAGGAATATGAAGGAATATATATGAAATAAAACAGTCATTCTACTGGCTTTAATGATTTAATATTGATAAAAGAAAGTATAGATTAAAAGTAAAGAATTCAGGGCTTAAGGAAATGGAGTAGTGTATAAGATTGTTTGATATACAGTCACAAGGACTTGAATTCCCAACCAACAAATAAAAAGCTGGCCCATAGCTCTAAGTGTCTGTAACCTTAGCATTGGAGGGTAGAGACAAGTAGCTCTCTGGTTACCCAGCGTAGGTAAAATCTCAAACTTCCTGTTCAGAGACCATGTTTTAAAAGAATAGGGTGGAGTGAGATGAAGACACCAATGTTCTCCTCTGGCCTTCACATACACATTCATGGACACTTGACACCCTCTAATAACATGCACAGAGGACACACATATGTACTACACCGTATGTACATATACATATCAAGTAAGAAAAGATGATGAGAATTGTTTTTCTTTAAGGGTAATTTATTCTAATAATAATTCTTTGAAGTACCCTAAAAATAATGTACCAACTCCATTGTTCAGGTAAATAGACCAGAGAAGCTGACCCATTAAACCACACCAAATGCCAATCCGAAGAAAGTGTTTCCTTACTGTGCATGTGGGGACACTTGGTTAGCTGCAGATGGAGAAAGCAAATGTTCACACTAAGACTTAACTCTGGGATGTTTTGTGGTGACAGCATCATCAGTGAAGAATGTTGTCTCTCCCATGACAAGAAAATAAGACAGAAAGAAATGGAAGAGATGATTATTTCTGTATGAACAGGAAATCATGATGGTTACATTATTTTCAGTGATTGGCATTTAAAAATGTTCTATGGGTCACTTCTGATGCACATATGAAGTCACCACCAAGTCAAAGCCATGCAAATCTATTTACAAAGGGTATCTAGTGATTTCATAACACGCATGTAAATTAGATATAAAATCACATCTACGCATCTTCTCAATGACTACAGCTAATTTGTTAATAATGAGCAGAGGGTGTCTTGTGGTACTGGGGACTGAACCAGGACCTTAAGTATGCTGGCAAGCACTCTACCATTGAGATCGCTTGCCCAGTGATGGTACTTTGATATATCCATCGACTACTTAATGGAAGTCACATATGACTCAATAAAGGTTGGTGACAAACTCACACAGGGGCCAATTGTAATAAATTGTAATAAAAACACACGCACAAAAATTTAAGGTTATATTTACATACAAGCATTTTTATTTCCAACTTAAATTTTTTCTGAAATTATTTTTTTGTTTTTTTTTTCATTTCTTTTTGCAATGTAATCTGATTGTCTATCTACGAGTAAGTCTGTTAGTTGAGGGAAAAGCACACATAAAGCTCTCTGTATATAATCTATCACACATGTACATATTGTTTATATAACATTTGGAGTTGCTATGTTGTGTATTTAGAAGTTGCAGAAAATTGCTGTGGCTTAGATAATCACATTCTAAAGAGCAATAATACCTAAAGTCATTAAATATATTTGAAAGCAAAGTGGAGAAGAAATTCCATAGCCTAATTCAGCAGATTTATGTACAAAGGCTTTATTATGATAAAGTTTACAAAAAATCTTTGGTGTAAAAGGAAACCCCAATCAATTGACAATAACCACTTACTGTATAGTGAATTATCTTTAAATAAACATTGAAAATCCTTGTCACTTTAAAAGTGCACCAGGGGCACATTCTGTGCCTCGTTGTCATGAACACTTCCCCACTAGGGAGAAAATGGACTGAATGACACCTGGACTGTACTCTATTTTTGTCTCTCTATTTTTTCCTATATGGCCCTCGTTGAACAATTGTCTCAAGAAAGACCAGCATGGTGCCTAAAGGAGCTTCCACTCAGCCTGTGCTGTCTGTATTCATTCTTTTATTTAGTAAAAATGTAAGAGGTTTTTGTTTTGCTTTTATTTTTTTGTTCCAAGTCCAGGGCCAGGGCCCATTTGCCTTTTGTTCTTGGAAGTTGAAAAATGTCACATGTTGTAAAAGCTTCTCTCTGAATAGACATTCATGGTCATGCGTGTGAAAATGTATTGGGAGGTTTTATGAGACATGTGGGGATGTGGGCTACATCTGAGACAAAAATCTTATAACAATCTCTCAAGCTGTTCTACTTGGGGGACTTGTTCAGTGTGGGGTGGGTGGCCGGACACCTCTCTGCCTTTTTATTAAATGATAGGGCAATTGTAAATGATTCAAAAGGCCCGGAACCAGAATTTTGCCTATTGAATAAAATTATAGCTGCTCTTTGCCTAATTCTAATTAATTAAAATAATCAGGGCTGTGGGGTTTTTAATGCTTTTTGAAACTATGTAGCACTTTGATACACTGTAAGCATTTAATGACCCCAAATTTCCAACTTTTATCGGTCCAACTCTTAAATATATATATATATATATATATATATATTTATACAATAATTTTCGAGATAAATGTATGCTTACAAATTTGCTTTTATGCACACTCCAAATAGGCAAAGGGTGTATAGTAGGAAAAATATATAATCTATTCTTAATTTACAAACCTTAGCCATGCAATTACTTCATTTAGAAAGGCTACTTTTTTGTTATTTGCTGTGAAAGTTTCAAAGATCATGTAATTATGTGTGGGAGAAGTGAGAGAAAAGATTGGAAAATAAACACCTCATTGTTCCGTAAAAATAGAATTGGTATCAACATCTAGACATTTGTGAGCAAGCTGCCAAGCATGAATAATAAGAAAGGGGCACATTTAAGGGACAAA